GTTGCCTCATCCGTTCCAGTTGTAATAATTCTTAATGTTAAATTCTTTTCTGTTAGGTTACTTTTATTTGTATGCCACTAATTACAAAAAATAGATCTGCAATTTGCAAAACAGTTCAAGAATATTATCAATGTAAAATGCAAATAGGTAAACATTTAATGCATTAATTTATAAAAATGAGATTAGATTTTAAAGAACAGTTTCATTTATTATTTGAGAATAAGAGAGAGATTTTCTAATTAATAATGAATCAGAATTATGAAACAAAATAATCATACAGAAATGAGTACACAATGCACCAATTAAGTAATGAGGCTGATGATACTATAAAAAATAAATAATGCTAATAGCAAAATAAAGTTATATATTTTCTAAATCATCATTTCTAATATCTATATAACATATCTTTTATAAAAGTTTTGAAAACACTTCTGGAACTCTTCTTTTAATACTGTTTTTAGCTAGCTGGTCATTGGAGCCTGGATGCCATCTGTAATCACATATTGCATTTCTTTCATGGCTCTTTTGATTTCAGGGAATAGAAAATAATTTTCAGGAGCCAAATCTGCAGTGTAGTTCAATGACTTTCAACTTACGACAGAAATGTATGAGTATATTGTCATACAATAACAGTTTTTATAGTCAAAATTTAATTTTTTTCTTGATGAATCCGATCCCATAACCTCTTCAACACTTCATCTTAGAACTTTTTCATCACTATTGTTTTTGAGGCATAAATTCTCAATGGCTAATGCCTGTTATATCAAAGATGATCATTATCATGGCTTTTCACTTGATGTTTTTAACAAGTTTTTTTTTTTTTGATGGGAGAGGATGGCAAATACCAGTTTGAGCTCTGATGTTTGTTGGGCTGCAATTTTCAAGTTGTCCTATAAATTCTCATTGGCATCCATCCACTTGTCTGCCCTTCCTTAATCCCAAGAACAGAGTAAGATAGAGGAAAGTTGAGACCAGATATGGAAAGCCCTTTACGAAAATGAAAAAACTATTGAAATACGCTTGTTTAAGATAAACATTCATCATCATAAATTTTTTTCAAATTGGAAAGAATTTTCATTGTAATTTTCCCATATATAAACTCAAAACCTGATATTATTAATAAGGTGACCAACTTTTTTATAATGAAAAGGAGGACACAAATAAATTGAAGGAAAAAATATTGTAAATAAAAGAAACATTTTATTCATTGCAACAGTAATACACTATAATAATCTCTACTCCATGCATATGTGCCGTGTTGTGTTTCAATAAGATGTAAACAAAGCTACTTGTGTGTGGTGTGCTGTCTCAAGGTCTTCCTTGTGGAGCGCATGTTGTCTCATAATTGCATCTCGCCACACTATCCCGAGCCATGATGAATTGTCATGTCACATAAGATCACATGCAATGGATTGGCTCGGCATCGATCAAATACATAGATTTACAGATTAGTCTTCAAGTATCGAAAAGGAGGTCACTTTTTGAGGGAGGACAGAACTTACGAAAGAAGGACTGTCCTCCCTAAAGGAGGATGATTGGTCACCTTATTATTAATCAAAGCCAAACAATCGTAATAATGAAACAGGTTCATTATTATTGCCTGATTCATTAAGGTGATCATTTGGCTTTTACTTTTCTCAATTTTCAATAAAATTTGACAACTGTTCTTTGCTCCGTTTTCAATTTTCTGATGACATGCATAAAACTATTATTACTCTTTCCATCATAAATCATGACCAAATTTTATCAGACAAGTTTCAATTTGCACTTGTTGTAACAAGCATACACTAATAAATCTAACCATGTATATTATTTTGGCCTCTTATATTAATACTAAATGTAGAGTGCATTCAGTATCATCATTTAATTGGCACACTGTAAATACAAAAAGGCTGTTAATCAAGCTATCCAACAATTATTTGCTGTTATTCTTGAACAATGTTGCAAAGTGTGATCAATTTTTCTATTATAAAAATATTTACTGATCAGTTATCTGCAAACACATTGTTATAATATATTTTAATTAGTAAATTAATTAATATTGTTATTTTTGTCTTATCATTTTTTTATTCTGCATGTTTGAAGATGACATTATCAGGAAAATGTCAGATAGTCTTGAACATCAAGACACCTGATGAGATTAAAGAAGAATCATGGACTGCAGTAACTCTCATCAAGGAATTGAACACACCAGAGTCATCAATAATGTGGTGTGCGGAAAGGCGTCTGTTGACAAATGAACGCCACTGCACCTCGTGCAGCAAGTCGCTTTGTTTGACGGCAAATAAGAGTGTCATTGACAAATATCAGTGGCGTTGTAAGAAGTGTTCTGTTGTAGAATCCATTCGTAAAAAATCTGTCTTTCAAAATTGTCATTTAACTATTTTACAAATTATAATAATTATGTATTTTTGGTCAAGAGAGTATCCGTCCAGAATAGCTGCAGTGGAAGTTGAAGTGAGTAAAAAAGTGGCCATAGATTGGTATAATTTCTTTAGAGATATCTGCAAAAATTACTTTGATTCCCATCCAGTTCAGTTAGGAGGTTTGGATGATAATGGGTTTCCAAAGGTAGTAGAAGTGGATGAGACATTTATTTTCCATAAGAATCATAATTGTGAACAAACTAAAAATGATAGAAAATGCGTATTTGGAGGCATCGAACGTGATTCGCGAAAGTGTTTCCTAGTGGAAGTACCAAACCGGAAAGCTCAAACACTTTTTCCAATTATAGAACAATATGTATTGCCTGGAAGCAGGATTATATCGGATGACTGTTCTGCATATGCCAAAATTGGCCAAATAAATGATGGGATATATCAGCACGATAGCGTCCACGAACGAGATTTTGTGGATGGCATAGATCCAGAAATCCACACTCAACACATTAAAAATATGTGGTCAAGAGCAAAACAAAAATTAAAACATCAATATTATAAAAATACCAAATTATTTCAACCTTATTTATTAGAATTTCAATGGCGATGTTTGTTTAAAACTCATGCTTTTGAAAACTTTTTAATGTGTGTTTCAAATAAATATCCATGTTAATTTTTTAATTGTCTTTTTTTATGATGGAATTTGTACATCTTATATGTGTTCAATATTGATCATCTGATTTATCCCAGTCAAGATTCTCCTAAATTAATAGCTAATTAGATTTCAGTTTGCATCAACATTATTTGATGATTCTCCATTTACTTTTAAGTAATGAACATAACAATGACTATAGAGTAAGTAAAAGTTTATATTATATTTAATATTCATAAATCATATTTATATATTTTGAATAATTGTTGTTTTTAACATTTCATTGGCAATTACATAAAATATTATTTAGAAAGCTGATTTGGTTGCCAAACAAAATGTTTACTGGTTCTAACATATACATTAGCTTTTTTGAAGTAAACAAACAGCAATTGATGGCAAAAGTAGATCATTTACTACAAATTATGGCCATTTTTCATCTACATTAAAAACATTATGTAGATCAAATGTTACTATTTTATTTTATACCAGGGCTGTGGAGTCGGAGTCGTGGGGTTTTGGTGTTTTAGCCGGAGACGGAGTCGGTAGATTTTTACGCGACTCCACAGCCCTGTTTTATACAAGTAGAAAGGAATACGTTTCTATTAGAAGAAAAATTAAGCAATTTAAAGTTAGAAATTAAAATAATATACTAAATTAATATCTCAAGGTACACGCTAGCCTTATATTTCTCCCAGCAGGATGGAAAAAATTAACATAAATGTGAGAAAACTAAGACAAAACAAACTCATTTGGTCTACTACTAAGACCTGAAGCAGGTCTTAGAAGACCAAATAAATAATTGATTTTAATAATTATATAATATAAATTTAGGATTTTTAATTTTTCCATCCTGTAAGGTTAGTGTGTTTGTTATTTTAATTAACTGCCTGGTTGCTATAAGATTAGAACTTTAAAATTTAATATTGTTTTGTCTTTTGGGCATTAGGAGGGCCTTTTAATACGCACATCATGGATTTGGCTGGGTCTACAATGAGACAGCTGCATGATTAGAAATAAAGTCAGACTACCCATGAAAATTCCATAGGATCTAACTCAGACTCAAATCTTGGTCCTTCAGAGTGGCAGTTACATATCTGAACCACTTCAATCACATTCATTAAATTTAATTCAGCTTTGATATATAAATCCATGATTCTTAACCTGTTCATGTCTTAATGAATTCTCTTGTTACATTTCAAGTAAAATGACACCAAGCATGATCCCAGCTGTATTAAATCTTGTTGTATAAACATCTGCCAAGATTCTACATTAACTGATTTTATTGATCAAAATGTATAGCAGTAAATTTTAACAGTACAGAATAGTTAATATACAATTGATTGAAAGAAATAGCATTTTCTTCTGCCTCTGTATTAAATCAAAATCATTCTGTTATGAGCATGCTTTCTAACATGCATTCATTTAAATAGAATAAGCCTTAAAAAATATCAAGTGTGTGACAGATCTATTTTTGATTTTATTTCCGTATTAGACATACTATTTTTATCCTTTACTTTAAATTATTTTTCTTCCCCTTAAAGGGATCATAGTCTCAATTGAATGGCAGTGATTTTTATAAGGAAGAGAAGAGACAATATGAAATATGTAAGTATTTAGCTTCCAATTTTTCTCTTAAAATAAATTACATATTTATCTGAAAATTTGTTTATAGGCATTTCCTATATCTGTGAATAAAGTTTAATGTAAGTTTGCTAATCAAGTTGTCCAGTAAGAATCTACAGAGTTGCTGCTACTGTTGTCAAACTGATATGAATTAATACATCCGGTCCAATGATACTTGCTTGGATGAGTAAAATATTTTCTTTTTTTATATAATTTTGAGTATTTATTCAACAATGGAAGTTTTCTGAAAAATAAGAAATATATTTGTGAATAAATATTTATTATGGAACAAGTTTAACTTTGTATTTTAATGAACTTTGATATGCAGTTAAAGCTAAAATATTTTCCAAACTGATCAATATATAAACTTTTTTCTATACGATGATGATATGCAAATAATACTACCTAATTTCTCAGATATTATATTGTAACAATAATAGTAAAGACTGTACAGAATTACTTTATTGCATAAAATTACTTTGCAAATGTTAATCTGAATGTTACCTGTTCCACAAAATGAGCAACATTTCTGGATTTGGCATAACGCAAATTCATATTAGTTATTATTTACTGACATATTATACTAAACTGCATCAACTTGCAAATAAGTCTTGAACTTCAATTCTTTCAATCTGATAACAAAGTTTAGAACAGTTCTAGATTATAGATTTGAATCCTGGATAATTATTAAATTTAATGAGAGAGATAACTCCTAACGCCTACCTCTAATATCAAATTACTTAAAATTTAATTATTAATGGTAGCGAAAAATAGTCCGACGCATTACGGAAGTCATTTGGCTCTGATTAATAACATTGGGTTTTGAGATGTTTATATTCGTATCCTGCTTTGGACATGAATGTTTATCAGAGTTTAATGTATAAAATGTATATATAAAACTTGAAATTTTTGTTGATTTGTTTAATGTTCTACTTTTATATAGCAAAACTAGTTATGATCAGAAATGTATTTTGATAGTTTTTAAATTACTATTTGAAGATTTTACAAAACTTGAATGCTAAAATTTTTTCATATACAGGTATACCTCGACTTACGTCGTTTTTCGACTTAAGTCGTTTTCCTGGAACCAATTACCGACGTAAGGCGAGGTATACCTGTATAATACTTTTCACTTTGTGTTTTTAACATATACATATGTCTGGACAACCAAGATGCTTTACTATCTTGTAGAAGTATCAGCCTTCCACTCTGGGGATGCAAGTTTGAGTCTGGGTAGACACAGATATATCAGGCCATATCTTTCATTATTTGGCCTTCCCATTGAGTTTAGCCAAAATCAAAATGGACATGGAAGAAAAGTCTCTTAGCGATTATAGGATGGAAAAAGTTTTAAAAAATTAAAACAAATATAATCAATTATATTAATCAGGGCTGTGGAGTCGGAGTCATGGAGTTTTGATGTTTTAGCCGGAGTCGGATTGGTAAGGAAGAGTTGGAGTCGGAGTTGGAGTTGGTAGATTTTTAAGCGACTCTACAGTCCTGGCAGGGCTGTGGAGTCGGAGTCGGAGTCGTNGGTCTCCAGAACGAATTAATCAAATTCCCATAGAAACCTATGGTAAATCGATAATCGGTTAACGAACAATTCGGATAGCGAACAAAGTCTTGGAACGGATTATGTTCGTTAACCGATCACCCACTGTATTTGTAATTTTTTCAATGAAACTGTAGCTGAGCTGTAGTGATGTTTTCTTGTTCTCAGATTACAACTGCTAGGAAATTGTTGGTTAAAAAGAATTTTACTAATTGAGAATATTATTGTTAAATTTGATGATAGGGAAGCTGTGTTTTCATAAAAATTTTAAACAAATACTGGAAATGACAAAAATAAACAGTTTATTTATTTTAATTCTAAAATATATACTGTAACTGACACAAAACAAAGCTATAAAAACTTGTTTTTATTATTTTTTTATAAACTAACTCTATTCGGCAATTTTTTTTCGCAAAGTGGTTAATTACTTTATCATAAAAATCGCTTATCGTTGATTCCATCGAAGTATTTAAAAGCTCTTTTTCTATTGAAAGCAACACTAGTGACAACAATCTTTCCTCCGACTGAGTGTTCCTTGCAAATATATGAATTCACTTCATGGTTGAAAAACTGCACTCGACGGATGCACTGGTGGATTGTATTGTAAAAATTAATGATATTAGATCATAAAATTCTTTTAGTACATCTTTGTTCAGATCGTCATTAATTATAATATTTTTTATGTCTAAGAGTGACTTGCCAATATAGTCTGGACATGAATATAAGTATTGCAATTCACTACGTTATTTAGATAAATCAAAAAATCTCCCGCCTAGAATTCAGGGTTGGAAGATTGGACTAGAAGTAATAAATATTGTAGCCTAGAGACCTACAAATATCTCTATTTGGGTGACTTGCTACTTTTTGGGCTACTATAAAAATAATTCGGGCTACATTTTGAGAATTCTGCTTTACTTTCTTTAAAACCTATTTGGCAACCTGTGAGGTTCTCACCAGACACGTGTTGTTTACCTGAAGTTTGTTTATATTATTATTAATTAACAAAAATAGTGTACTATATATGTAGACATAGTCCATTTGCTTAATAAATTACATCAATTACATGGCATTTGTCATATTGTACAGTAATATGTAAATCTCAGGTAATTCAAAGTTGCGATTATTTCGTCCCTTGAATTTCGAACTAACGAGGAATTTCTGTATACAAAGTAAGTGGGAATAGCTCATTTTTTAATAAAACAATCTAATGTTGTTTTCTTAGCCGTCTTTAGTTTTTTAATAGTTGTCTTTACTATCATCATCGCCTTTAATTTGAGTCCACCATTTTGTAAAGGTTTATGTCATCAATTTCTATGGAAAAATACACAAGCACAAAAATCAAAGCTTAAAACGACAGTGCAAAAGAAAATGGACGACAGCTCTTCGGCAAGCTTTGATACTCCCTCCAACAAAAATTAATTTATTTCCTGACAAATGCTACGGCATCGATGTGGAAATACAGAACATGTAGACACAAAAGCTGGTTTTCAATAGCAATTTTTACCATTTCATCCATTTCACAAATTCCAGCTATCAGGGAACATTTGTTAGGTTAATTCAATCGTTTTACTGAAAAATATTTTGACTTTCCACCTCTGGAAGGTTTTTAACTTATTCAGGTTCTAACTTTAGCAGGTTTTACTGTATTAGTTATGCAATATTTGTAGTATAGTTGTATTTGTTTTTAGCTCCATATTAGTTTAGCACCTTGTACAGCCATAAGAAAAATGCCATTGATCTCAGAAAATGATTTGTTTTTACTATTTAACTTATCATTTAAAATTACAGATTTAAAATTATAGATAAGTTTTAATTCATCTGATTTACTTTTCAAGATATATATATATATATATTTTTATGTATTTTAAATTTTAGTTTTTATATAAAATATTTGATACATATTATAGGTTAAACTAAAAGATTCTCTTGTGAGTTCAATTGAATTTGCCCGAGCAAAGGATGCAGAATTGGCTTGGATAGATGGTGAAATAATGATGCAAGAATTAGAGAAAGTAGTAGAAAAAGATATCGAGATTAAAGAAGCTGACGGTATAATATTTTTGATTTCATAACAGAAATTTTCAAAGTGATTTATTTGTAATAATTAAATTTAAATAATTCTGATATTATCATTTTTAGAAATTGAATCAAACCAAGAATTAATTCCAACACTTCAATCTCTACCACAGAGTTTGGTAAGTTTAGTATTTCAGTATTTAAGTAGTCTGAATTTTAATTCTTGATAATTTTTATTTATAAATATTATAGATGTTTATAATATAAATTACTTTAAAATAATAATGTTTCAACAATTATAAAAAAGACAAAAACAATTGCTTCCTACAGTATTAAAAATTCACAAGTAAAAATTCCTGGTTAGTAGTACAGTGGGTGATCGGTTAACGAACAAATTGGATAACAAACACTTTCACGAAAGATTTTTATGATCGGACAATGAACATATGTTCGGATAACAAACACTTCACTGAACAAACACAAGAAGCGATGTAAAATAACAAATACCAATTGGTCTTCCTTTGTCTTCAGGCAACAATTCGAAACTTTTCGGAGCGCGGGAGACATCGACGTTCTACCCAGTATATACTAATCGAATAGTATTCCCCCAAACTTTGAAACTCTCCCTTGTAATTCCAGCCTTTTGTATTTCTGACAGAAACAATTCTTTTACGTTTTCTTCTGAAAATGCGGATTTATGCCGATATCTGCTATTAAAGATCTTTTGAAGAAGTAGGAAGATGTCAGAACAACGGTCTTAAAATGGCATCCAAACCAAGTTGAG